TGTATTGATTAACACTAGCTCAGGACCACACCTACTAGTGGTGGGTGGTACTACTTATGATATTTGGATATTTGATATTAACAATAAATCATGGAAGAAACTGGTAAGTATATTATTATATTGTGGGTGTGGTTTAGACATTTTGGGTGCAGAAAAAATTTTGGGGAAATTTATATTTTAATGCATGTACATGTACAATACATGACGAGGAATTATACAAATTTTATTTTTTATAATCCTCCTTTATGTATAGGTTAATTTACCAGACAATTTCACTAAGAGATGGTTTCATTCTCTCTCAGTTTGGAGTGTGACTCCAACCACTAACTGGATAATTGTGTTTGGAGGAAGCACATCATACAAAGATACAGCAGTTATTGAACTCAGTGAGTACATGTAAATACAAATGTATTGAATATACACAATTTGTATATATTGAATATACACATGTAATAATTATAAAAATTATTAGTATAAATAGCCATATTAAACCGACAATACAGTATTAACTAATATTATTATCATGCATGTACACTGTACATGTACTTGTCATTAATTCAACTATTGTGTTACTGTATAGGATATACTAGTAATAATGATTGGTCTACTAGTATAATACCTCTGGACCAGTATCAAGAGAAACTACAAGAAAGGAGAAGAGAATGGGAAGCATCTCAACCTGTTCAACCTGAGGATAGAAGAGAAATAGATCGTCTGACACGTGTACTACAAGAAAGGGAAAGGGAACTAGAGGAGGAGAGAAGAGAAAAGGAACAAGTTAGAAACAGACTACAGCAACAACTTCAAGGAAGAGAACGACAACTTCAACAAGCACAGCAACAAGGACAAAAAAAAGAGAGGGAAATTCAACAGGCCAGAGAACAAGTTCAGGATCTTCAACGACAGCTTCAAGAAAGGGAGAGGCAACTTCAACAAGCACAGCAGCAACTTCAATCAAGAGAGAGAGAATCTCAAGAAAGAGAGCAACAGCTTCAAAGGCAAGTAGAAGGTGGCCAGCAAAGAGAACAGGATCTTCAACGACAGCTTCAACAAGCTCAGGAGCAACTAAGAGAGAGAGATAGACAAGAGAGAGAGTCTTCCTGGGTAGTTAGCAGAAATGATATTAGAATGACAGAAAGGATTCTAGGGAGAGGAGGATGGGGAGAGGTCAGAGTAGCTCGTTTCCATGGACTGGAAGTTGCTGCAAAGGTACTTCATGAGACCATCATATCAGAATATAACGTGTCACTGTTCTCTCGTGAAATGAATATTGCTTCTAAAATACGTCATCCTAACCTCCTTCAGTTCATAGGAGCGACTACAGAGGGTAATCCAATGATCCTGACAGAGCTAATGCCGACGAGCCTAAGAAAGGAATTAGAGAGTGGAGGAGTGGCCTATCCTGCCATACTGAGCATCAGTTTAGATGTAGCCTGTGCTCTCAATTACCTTCATCTCTTCAAGCCTCATCCTATACTACATAGAGATGTCAGCAGTGCTAATGTACTCCTTCAACCAATGGGAGGTGGACTTGGAGGATGGAGGGCTAAAGTATCTGATTACGGATCAGCTAATCTTCAGCCTCTCATTGGCAGAACCACTAATCCTGGTAATCCTGTCTATTCAGCACCTGAAGCAGGGAATCCAAGGGAGCACTCTCCTTCAATGGATGTGTTCAGTTATGGTGTCCTCCTTCTAGAGATGATAACACGACGTATTCCTCTACCAGAAGAGAGAGTAGGTCTTATTGATGGTATTAGAAGAGCCTCGTTTAGGTCTCTTGTTGAACGCTGCCTGATAGTTGAGTATAGACACCGTCCAACAATGAATGATATTATAACTGAACTAAATGACACTGTTTATTAGGCTTTTAATTATTTAAGACCCATTTTACTTTACTTTTTCTTTAAAGTAGTGAGTGCTTATTTTTGTTGAAGTTAGTGAAACAGTTATTAAAACTTAAACACCAATTTAATAACTACTATTCCAGAGGAATGATGGTGATTCTAGTTTTTGGTCTAGTCTTCTTTTGTAATGCTCTAGCTTGTTTTGCTAATTCCTGTGGTACTTCAACTCATGCTCCTACTTCCTTGCAACCAGGTATTATACATCTCTATATTTATGGAACCATAATATTTTACTTAAGGTTTTGTCATGTATAAAAAGACATGCTCTGAGTCACAGTACACGAGTTTAGATAATAATTCTACTCTTTTTATTTGTGAAAATTGTGAGCATCAGTGTATGGTCCTGTGGTGTGTAAGTTCATATGAGAGCATCGATAGCAATGGTCAATTTACAATGACATACACAGAGTCTGATGTAGCTACTTGGATTAAACCATCTGCTAGTGCTATGCCACTACCAGTAATGATGTATTTATGTACTCATAAATCCAGTGCCATGAATTGTATATCTTATAGTGGTTATAGTGGAGCTTATAAATGTGTCCACAACGATGATAATAAAACATTAAAGTTTGAACTTGATGTACCTACCACAATGGTAATATCTACAATAACATCTACTATGCCTTGCTCTATCAATTCATTACATGAAGTAACAACTTGTTCCAACTTTTTGTATACATCAATGTTACAGCATGAGTCAATAGCTTCATCATTATCATTTGCATCACCATCATCTTCAATGATATCCCCAGTACAATCGTCATCAACAGTGCCCCATTACGCTGGTATTGGTTTATTAGTAGCTACTAACCTACTGACAATCATTGCATTAATCAGTAGCTGTGTCTACATATTCTGCCAGAGGAAAAAATCAAAATTGTAAGTGTTTGTATCATTACAACACTCTTAAATATAACTATTACTTTTTAGCATCGTAACAGAGAATGAACAAATACCTTTACAAAACACATCTCCTCAAACTGAAGCAACAAGGTAAATTAGTAAAAGTATACAGTAACTGTTATCTTATCAATAGTCACAACACTGAAACTAGCCCAACCAGTAACAATAATGCTAACATTACTTCTGGTACTAACATATACTCCTCAGTTGAAGATGAAGTTGATCATCATCATCATCACCACCGCCCACCAGCAAGAGTAGCCAGTCAATATGAAGTACCTCTGGACTTATTACAGCAAGCACATGTCCCTCTCCCTCCTCCTCCTCCTCTTTATGCTACACTTGATGATCAACATGATCTTACTCTACCCAACCCTGAGTATATTACTAATACAGCAGTAACAGCACCTAATCCTGGTTATATTACTAATATAGTACCTAAGACTAATCCTGGGTATAGCAGTACTGCTATCAAAGAAGAAGGAGAAGGAGAAGAGAGAGGAGAGGGAGAGAGAAGAGAAGAATTGGATTATAGTTATGCCACTGTTAATAAGTTCCTCAAGAAACCCACTGAGGATACTGAGTATAATAAACTCCAGCATGAATAGTAGATATACATAGCTTGCGTGTGTGCCCATCTATGTACATTATTGTTGATTTTTATTTCAAGTTGTGTGCAACTATACATCGTGTACTTAAATCTTCATCCTCTTTCATTGTCACAACAAATGATATTATAGCTGAACT